TACCATTATAGAAATCATTCATAGAACCAATTTCATTATTAAACGAAAATCTAAAACCTTGTGTATATAAACCCTGAAAAGAAATAATGGTTCTCGCCATTTCTAACAAATAGCAACAATCGTTCAAATCTAACCCTAACCCATTACTAAGAAATAAAGAATAAACTCCAATATTGGTGACAGACGACACTCTCCTATTCCCCATGATCAATTTCATCTTCCCGTGCTTCACATCCCTACTTCTTCTTATACCCTGAAAATCAGAACAAATGTGAAAACCACACCCTGTGTCAAGGACCCAAGAACTAGCATGTGATGAGTTATTAGATTGAATAGTGTAAATACCTGCGAAGGTGGGCTTTATCTTCCTATCCTTGATATCTTGCAGATACTTCAGGCAGCTTCATTTCTAATGCTCTTTATCGTGACATTAGAAGCACTCTGCATCTTTCGGATTAGACGAAGGAGCAGTAAATCCACCTTTGGTTCCACTTGAAGAAGAACCATCATGAGACTTTCCCTTGTGGCTCTTAGAAGGAGCTTTCCTCTTCTTCCCCTTCCCTTGTCCAATTACCAAGACATGGGAAGCATCAGTAGGAGTTGATGGGACAACTTTGCCTTTCAAGTCGGTTTCAGCAGTTCTTAACAACGCTTGAAGTTTGCTCAAGGTCACCTCATTCTTGTTCATATGATAAGTCATCTTGAACTGTTCATAACAAGGAGGTAAAGAGTGGAGGATAATATCAATGGCCAGCTCTTCATCAAAGTTGACATTCAACTTGAGCAAACGATCCACGTATCTATGCATTCTTTGAAAGTGGGTCGTGATGGACTCTCCATCCTTCATTTTGGTTGTTATTAATGAGGCAACAATCTTGTACATTTCTTGACACGCACTTTGATGGTACTTTTCCATCAAATCTTGGTTCATGTCATAAGGCCAATAGTCCTCGTAGAACTTTTGAAGCTCGGGAGTCATAGTGGCTACCATGATGCATGACACCTTGTCGCCTCTTTGCATCGAGCCCTATACTCGGTGATTTCTTCGGGAGTAGCAGTAGATTCGTTGATCTCGACGAGTTCTTTGTCGAGAATCTCTTCCTTGTCCTCGTACCTTAGGGCAATTCGAATGTTGCGAATCTAATCATTAAATTTAAATCCATCAAATGTGACCCTCCCACAAATACCCAAGAGAGAAAGTGGGTTCGAGGAGTTGGCGTTGGAGGAGTTTGAGCCTGACATCTGAAAAAGAAAAGAGACAAAGTTTATATTAGATAATAATCCTTAATATAACACCCAAATGAAATATTAAGGCTTGGACCCAACACAATATTCTACAATTCGGAAGAGGGATGCCGTAATCCAATTGCAAAATATTTGAAGGTAGGTAAATGACGATTTACCAATTTCCACCATGAAAAACGAAAAAGAACATTAGGTTTTAAATGAATTGAAATTACTAGATTCTTTGAGATTCTTTGAACTTTTCAATGGCATGTTTAATCTCGATTATGCCCTTCAAGTTTGTGACTGGGATACCGAGGATCGCAAACAAGGTGTGAATAACCATGCAAATGTGCTCGGTACTCTCGATGTCATTTATCACCTAATCAATGTGACGGTTAACCACACACGTTCCATTGATCTATGATAAACATCGAGCTACACTTTGCCACCCTTGTTAGTCCAAGTTAGTGTGCGAGTTAACCACACACGCTCCACTAACGACTTGGCAAGGTGCAAAGTGCAATTTCATGGAATAACATCATTTTCACATTTTTCCTAAAGTAACTAAGGTTGGGAATTTATGAAACATTTAGTTACTTTATAGTAATCATTATACCTATTAATGAGGAATTAGTTGTATTTTGTTTCAGAATGAATTCGCATCTAGGTTTTTATATATGAATTCGTATTTTGTTTCAGGACTCACTCACTTAAAATACAATAAAGTTGCATTGAATATGAAGAACAAGAATGTATTATACTAGAATACACTCTCATTCTGCTGGAATACACTCTCATTCTTGTAGATATGAATTCATTCTGAAAGAATATTATTGTTGACATTAATGACGAATTTAATTAGTTTCCATAAAAATGAGTTATAAGTATGTATAGCATTTAATATACATATAATTAATACTAAATTCCTATTGGTGCATTCTAGCACACAATAGATGTGAGAAACATTTGAACCTACCTCTATATATATATATATATATATATATATATATATATATATATATATATATATATATATATATATATATATATATAGAGAGAGAGAGAGAGAGAGAGAGATAAGTATTTAGCTTTTATAATTATAATAGTATAAGGGTTGTATTTTAAACCTTTTAAAACACTAGGGTTTAGAATTTAATATTTCAAAATCAAAACCTTTTTTTAATCAAATTTTAAATTCCAAAACTTGAGGGCAAGTTATGAAACTTTTCAAAACTATCTCGATCAAATTTAAAATAATTAAAATAATCATATAATTTTATTTTTATCAAAATTTGACATAATCTAATTTTAGTTTGCAAGATAAATACAATTCAAAATTTACAAATAATTAGTTTATCATATAATCTAGTAATTATCTTAAATTTGGACCATTATATTCCAATTAGATTAGGATATCCATTACCATATTAGAAAATTTGGATTTTGACAGAAAAAACAGTTTATGGTAATTATCCAAATCTAATTTAGGCTTAAAATCTGAAAATCATGCAGTCAGACGAGTCAACTCGTCGAGTCAGGATTTAGACTCATCGAGTTGCATCAACTCGTCGAGTCCCAATATGGACTCGTCGAGTTCATCTGTCAGAGGGCAGAAATCGATTCTTTACAACTTTGAATAATTAACCATGACATCAAATACAACAGAAAAACAGCCTAGGCGCTGATACCACTGATGGAGTTTTGAGCACTACAACCTTCCTATGGTGTACATGCAACCCTAATGCTTCGGATCTATGTTTTTTATCAAGTTATACATGCAAATCAAATCATCCAAAGCATGAACCCTAACTAGCATACAATTTTCGGAATTTGTAACATAAAACATAGATAAAAGAATACATTTTCCTTGTAGCTTGTAGATCTTGACCTTCAAGAGCTTAGTGACTCAATTGTTGCACCTCTAGTGAGTCACAAACACCAAGTAGCAAGTTGGAAGAATATGAGAGAGGTTAGGAGGCTCAAAATCGGCTAAGGTATTCTCTTAGAAGCAAGTGGCCGATTTCAAGGTGTTATGGGGTCTTTATATAGTTGTGCAATTAGGGTATTTAACTGGAACCCTAATTCTCTGCTTAGACCTTAAGCAATCCAGCAGATCCTTCCAGAAGGCCTCTTATGGACGAAAACTATGTGGGCTACACATAGAATTTCGTACATCCCTTCTTAGGGATCCACAAGCCAACTTTGCAACTATCATATAATTGCAATACACGTACCCATAATTTAATAAGTATCTTTTGATCACTAAATTAATTCCAAATTAATTTCTGATCAATACTAATTAAATAATATGATTTCTCAATTAGTATATTATTCCTATAATATATTAATAAATCATAATTAACCTCTTTCTCCATAATTCATCCAGTCAAGTTGCTATGGTGAAGGCAAACCAAAAGGACCATGCTACTATTGGGTCAAGTACATACCGATTATACTTATGGTCTTAGACACCTGATCCAACAATACTTCCCTTAATTGAATTATAGGTCCAATAGAGTACATAACCTCTTAGACCTTCCTTTTATTCAATTATTTGAACAGGTTTGAAGCAGGTTCTACTATTCAGAATGAATATTTGCTTTATTTTATGAAACATTTGGTATGCTTCATAATTATCCAAGACCTTCTATAGGCCAAGGAAAATTATTCATGTATGATGTTATACATATCAACATCATCACAATAATGCTTCCATCAAAGCATCATGATCAGACTGACTGGTTGGTAGATGTTGTCCAGTAATGAGATCTTTCAGTATATATAATTTCTATTTATCCTTGAGGAAAAACTCAAGGCATTATACCAGTTATATAAATTATAACCATCAAATGTTACTATCTCTTGATACTCAACAAGAGAGAGGTTTTATAGGGCATATGAGTATTAGTAGCTATATATATAGAATTTAACAAAATTTCATTTAGTATTTTCAATATTAAATATTTAAAAAAAACTAATACCTTTTTATTGTTTCTAAAACATTAATTTATTAAAGTCTAGGATCCAAGTAACGAAACAAGTAAATGGTTAGGTGACCTTTATCCCATCTACTTACTCCAACCTAGTAGGTAGCGACTACCAATTGTATAATATATGTAATTCCTAGATAATGGGATCCTAAACAACTATTTTTCAATTTGGCATGCTTGATCGGTTGACCCCATCTATGTCTGAAGTTTCTCATACTTAGGTGATCTTTATCACACAAGATTCTTGATCAAGTCTTCCTACTTGAAACAACTTGTAGCATTATAACTAACACTACTAGAAAAACAGCCTTTTACGACGCGCAATGTGTGTCGTAAAACGCTCAGACGACGCGCAAATGCGTGTCAAGGAAGGCCCTGTCACAACGAGAGACGACACGTTTTTGCGCGTCGTCTATTTACGACACACATTTATGACACACATTTACGACGCGCAGTTACGACACGCAATGCGTATCAAGGAGGGCCCTATCATAAAGGTAGACGACACGCATTTGTGTGTCGTAACCTTACGACGCGCGTTTAGGACACACATTGCGTATCATTAAAGCCCCTGTCATAAATGAAGATGACACGTATTTGCGTGTCATAATTTTAAATGTTTTAAAAATATATATATTTTTCATTGAATTACTAATTTTCAAATTAAACAACAGATTGAAATTATCATAATACAAAATAAAATACCATACATAAGAACAATAATTTATTTCAAAAAAATATCACATGTCAAACAAGATACCTAACATTATATGTCAAACAACACTACATGTCAACACTAATAACACTTAAAAACATGCTTTTTCCTGCATTTGGAGCACCCGCTATTTCTATATCAACAACCAACTTTAGGTCCAATTGCAACCACCTTTAAAAGAACAACATTGTAAAAAAAACAACATTAGAAGATCAACATTTGCTTGATTTGATGATTCAACATTAGTTGCCCTTGGACCTATTCCTGTTAAAAAGATACATATGAGAATATATATATATATATATATATATATATATATATATATATATATATATATATATATATATATATATATTATGTGAACAGCAGGTCCACCAGATGCTTCATACATAATATAATACATTTCAAGTCTAACTTTGATGATAACAAACTTGAAACTTTTAAAATAAGAACAAACCTCTAGTGGACCTTCCAAGACCCTCATAGTGTCATTCATATATGAACATTTTGTTGCTTGTTGCATCTTTTGTAGAGGTTATTCCAGAACCATCTGCACCTTGGCTTTTCATCTTTATTTATCACTCTTCTTTTTTATGTGTGTTACTGGTTCTAAAGCTTTGGAGCTTGTGTATTTTTTACTCTTTGTAGGAGGAAGACCAAAACTTGCATCATTATTAGACTTTGATTTTTCTGTGAAAAAAAGTAAAAAGATAATTTAAATCGGTAAATTTTTTCAAATGAAGTAGAAAAGTAAATTATTAGAAAGAATGTAAATTCGGGCTCACCTGTGAATCCGAATTTCTGATGCAAATCCTGTTAAAAAGATGTTTTGTGTATTGGGTACTAATTAAATATAATATTACTAAAGAAAGTTTTATAAAAGAATAACTTACAGTTGCAAGGTTGAAATCTATGAGATAGCCCTTGGAAGCCCTGAGAGAGAAAAGGAAATTTCCAGGCTTAACGTCTATGTGAACTACTCCCCGAGGACAAAATCGGAATTAATTATTTTTGATATGAGAAAATTTTCTTTGATTAAAATAGTTACCTGTTTATGAAGACTAGAAAGTGCTTTGAATAAACAGTAGCCATACCACCGGAGTTGTTGGACATCTATTTCTCTCTTCAAGGCCTAAACAAAAAAGAAAGAAAAGCTTACGGATATTAACAAGGGGAACTGTTACTTCCGCGGACATTTTTGATAATACATTGATTTTTTAATGAATTTGACAATTATATCCTTATTTATATTTAAACTGTAATTGTTACTCAAATGCAAACTCATGCAGTGGCGTTTGCGTGGTTCTTGGTTTTGTATAATGGTTTACTAAAATTTTGCATTTGAAAAATTCACTTAGGGACATAATTGTCAAATTCCTTTAAAATCAGTGGACTAGTTTGATTTGTTGCATTTTATTTTCAGCATAGTAGGACTAGTTTGAGATTCAAATAGATAACTAAAAACTCAGAAAATTGTCCCATCATTTGAGCCTCTGTTCTTAATTTTTTCCTATATAGTTCATGTGCTTTTTATCATGTGCAGACCTATATCCAGTAAATTCTTCAAACGGTGATTTTGGTAAAATCATCGGCTAAGAGTAATCAACTGAAACAGTTTCACCCAAACCTGTGATGTCGATTGTTATTGGAGTTTCCAGTCTTCAATATTACAATGTAAACTGACTTGCACTATTTTTTTTCAAGAATAAGTTTATGACTACCAAGCTCTTGATGCAGACAAATCAAAGAATCAGAGAATTGACAATTCATACAATAAAAAAATTCCACAATTCATACTCATGTACAGAGAATCATAGAGTCATACGCACACACAAAATCAATATGTTCAATTCATCAAAACTTTAAACTTTGACAATTCATTCGCATAGCAATGACAGTGCTTGAGAATCAGACATTGAAAAATCATACACATACACATGGTTTTAACAGAATTAGATAATGAGAATCGCTTACCTTTTGAGAGTGAGATGAAGAATCTGAGCCGATAAGAAAGCAAGATCGAATAAGGAAGGAGCATCGTTAGCCCTGGAATCTTTTTCCCTATAATATTTAAAAACTTAAATTAAGGGTATAATGGGCAGTTCAAATAAATCTTAGTGGATGGATTAAAATTTACACTGGAAAATTGAATTCCTTAGAAACAAAAAAAAACTTGTAATTTTAAACTCAGTGTTCATATTTGCTTTCATTACCTGAACCTTCTTCTTCGTCTACAAATGGTGTCTATAGTTTACAGGAAAACCATATGACAAATGGTGTCTATAGTTTACCGGAAATTTCCACCTGTAGCAGATTAAAGAAACTAAATTTGACACCATATTCTCCTTGCCATCTTCCTCAAGTAGCATCTTCCAAAGCACTGTTCAATAAATTATATATTTATATTCATACAATGTATAAAAAAATATTCAAATTTAAAATAAAATGTTAATAGGGAAATTGAGATGCATACAGAGCACCTTTTGCAAGTGCATCAGATGCAGGTTGTGACCTCCCACATTCATTATATAACTCAGAAGCCCTTCTGTAAAAATCAGCAACTTCATTCCTCTAGTCAGCACCTTCATAATATTGAGTTGTTTTTTTCAGCCTAAATTACCTATTAAATAAATATTTTACCAGTGTAGGTAGAAGGTCTGCAGCATTGAGTGGAAGTCCAGCCCCATTAACCATCCAGGGTTTTTTATTAAATAATCTGTTTGCCTGTGCTGCCTTCACTCCAGTAGTTATTAATTCGTTCAATCTTACCTAAAAGATCATTAAAAAAAAGTTAAACTTATATAAAGCAAAAAAAAAATTATAAAATAATTGGTATATTAAGAGGTAACAGGGTACAAGAAAAACAACCTTAGCTTCTTCCATTTCAATGCTTGCATTATCAAGTCCATCTAACATTGATGAATCCTTGCTAACAAGTGAAACCAATGCTGGTGTTAATTGTCCTTCCAAGTCTAGGATCCCCTTGGCAAATGCAACACCTGCTATCTGTCAAGATTGATAAGTCATCAAATGGGACCCACAAAGAATAATGTAAAAAACTGAAGATGATATTGATACCTGCACATGGCCCTCATCAGAGCTGTAAATTTTAAGGTCATGACAATATGTGATGTGAAGGCGAAGGAGTCCAGTACCTTCACCTGGATACACATTATTGCGAAAATATCTCCCAAGTTCTTCAGCCTGTAAATAAAAAATATGTACATGATTAAAGAAATATAAGAACTTACCCAACTTCACCTCTCCTTGTTTAGTTAAAGAAAACATGAGAAAGTAAATCTAGAGTAATATAAAGAACATATTTTTATCAGAACTTACCCAACTTCCTTGTTCATTTAATAAAATATTACCTCCCTTAATATCACGATGCACCTTGAAAATCGAGTGAAAATAGGATAAACCCTTCAATGCTTCAGTACATATATATGCTATTTGGTACTCCTCTAAAGCCTCATCAGTGACATTCATCAAATTAGCAACACTTCCTCCACCACAATACTCCATTACAATCTGCCAACACATGGAATCATCATCAAAAATAAATAGAGAGATGAATACAATTGATGGAAAAGATACAATTATTATGGGAATAACAGAAGTGAATGATGGAAGAGTGTTCATACCCAAAGATACTCCTCACCCTGATAGTTTCCTAAATAACGAACAACATTAGGATGACTGCATTGCTGCAACATCTCTATTTCACATGAATACAACCTTAAAAAAGTGCCATAATAACTTATCTTCCAAGTTTTCATGACTTCAGGAATTTCATGAGATCGAATGTCAAAGTTCTTGAGCACATGTAGTGGAAATAAATAAGAAAAATTCATATTAATTCATATAAAAATGATGAAAGCTGAAAAATGATGAGTTCCTAAACCTAAATAAAAATGATCGACGACGTATGGTATTTTCAGGACCCCACCCACCCATTCATCCTCTCCGAATAAGGGCTGAACCCAAAATCCACTTTCACTCAACCTGAAATCGGCTCCTTGAAAGGCACCGATGGGAGGTACATGTTTGTCCTAGATCCTGAACTCCTATCGGATTTCGTCCCGGAGTTCTTGCTCTTCCGTGCGTCGACTTTCTTCCCTGTTCCACTACGATAACGCAGACGTACCTGCGAGAGTCGGTCCTCGAAAATTTCAGTCTCGGGTGATTCGGAGGTGGGACCATCGGTAGAGGAAGAATCATCGAGCGTTGCTTTCATTGTGAATGAGAAGTTTATGGGGAGCGGCGCATGGGATCCGAGTGGGGACAGAGGGAGTGGTGATAAGAAGAGAGGGTTGGAGAACGCCATTGTTGATAGAAGTAGAACCTCTCCTTTGGGACTTGGGTGTGGCTGCTTTGTACTTTTAATATTATTAAGGTTAAAATTCACCTTAATAAGATATGGCTTGTAAATTTGAGCAATAGAAGAAGTAAGCCTAAGGTCGTCGGACCTGATGTTGTCGACAAGGGGAGGTGAGGTATCGTGATTAGGGTTTGTAGAGAGAAAGGAAGAAGAGAAAGAAGCGGTGTATTTAAAGATTTTAGAATTTTAGGAGGATTTCATTTCCCCCTTTTGAGATCGCGCGTTTTGAGAAAAATTATAAAGCGACATTCACAGAGGACGCACATTTAAAAAAAGCGCCCTCCGTGTTTGTTAATTTTTTGTGAGAAAAATATTCTAGGGCACGCACAAATGCGTGTCCTCTATCCTTCAAAATTTGGAAGGCTGACATTAAATTTTAGGGCACGCACAAATGCGCGTCCTCTATCAGTGTGTGTCATTATTTTCGCGTCGTAAAATGCTGTTTTTCTAGTAGTGTAAGTAGTGACTAGGTGGCCCATCTGGCACTAGAAAACACAAATCCACCCCAAACATCATCAGTCAAATCTTAATGAGTAGGTGACCCTGTGCCACAAAGTCCGTACAAACGATGCCCAAGTGTTCTTCAAAATGACGACATTGACTTGTATTTTTAAGAAAAGTTTTTATGTATATGTTTTACAAATATAGTAATAAAAACATGGTCTCATGAATATTGAATGAATCTAACAATTCATGTACCCTTTTGTAAAAATAATATCACTTGAATAATGTTCTTTAGGTTTTCAATAAAATTTAATTTTATTAACCATTAGCCGCGATCAATTATAGACTAAAATCTGATATTTTAAAGTTTAGTCGTAGAGCGTTTTAAGAACTGGTTATAGTTTTTAATAAAATTTCATTTTATACTTAAGACATGGAGTTTTTTATGAGTTCTAAAATCATAATTTTAAATCTCCTTCTAATAAATCAAAATCTTATGAACTTATGAATTTGTAGCACAAAACTCATTTTATTGTATAAATTCAATTTTATACATCTTATGATAAAAGTGATATTTTGATAAACCAAAACTTGGGTGATAATTATTATGTTTTAAATCTCATTTGGCATGCGTAAAACATATTATCAACATGTTGCGTTAAGTTTAAAAAACTAATCTCATATATTAAGTTTCGACATAAAAAATAATCACTAGTATTGTGATTTGCAGTTATAACGCTATAAACCATATTTTAGTCTTTTTAATAAAACTCTTATCTATTATGAAAGACGTCGAGTTTAGATAAATTTTAAACAATTTTTGAATTATTTTAAATAATTTAAAGTTAGATATTTAAAAGTTTTACCATAAAAATATTTTTAACAAAAAAACTTGATTTTAATTGGTTAAACGTTTTAATAAATAGTCATTAATAAACATATTATGTTGTATTTTAAATATTTTTATACTCAAACTCCAAGTCATATGATAAAATGTTATTTGACATGTAAAAACCATTTTCATACATAAAACATAACATACAACAACATGAAATAAACATCACAAACATGCATTAAAAATATATGTGCATAAATCAACCAAGTCTAGTGACATTTTGTGAGCCAACACAAACTGCCAAGTTCATTCCTAAAGGGAAATAAACGGACCCAAAACTTCTAGTGATGTTGTTGTTGAAGCTCCTACTTTAGAAAACATCCAATTCTTGCAAATAAGTTGAAAACATCTTGAAAGGTAATATTTCAGCAACATGCAACACATCAGGAAAGTGTTGCCTTAGGACCTGCACTTAGAAGGAATCTGATGCAACACTTTTCCAACATCAACACTTTTCAGAAAAGGTTGCGTTAAAACCCGCTATTAAAAAGTTGCGAAAATAAACCATTTGGATCTTAAAAATGGCTTCATCTTCATTTCTTGTTACATTTTTGTAGAAAATAAATTATTTCCTAAACTAATCTACTACTTACAAAAATAAACAAAGAAAACTAACTATTTAATTATTACATACCATATGAATAAATAAATATTACAACCACTTTAAACAAATCAACACATCAACAACAAAAGGGTCCATGGCTAGTTTATTCACATCATACAAATACTAACATACACTTTGTTTTTCTAAGACAACTTTATACAACCAAAATGCATGAAAAGACTTGGTTGCATAAAAATAACAATTATAAAAAACAACAAGTTGCCATAGAAAATATATTTAGAGATTTCTTTTCCAAAAGAAATATCAAACATATTTTTCAAAACCAAAGGTTATCAAACACTTAAATAAATCTTTCTAAGCATGTATAAGAGGCTATGTTACCACTGATGGGGTTTGATAACAAAAAATGATCATTTTTATAAAAATAACTTTAGTGGCAAACGAAAGACTTTAAAATTAACTAGTTTATTTTTAGATCTTTTTAACAAAACCACCTAGAGGATCCAAATACATGAACTATAAAGATAATAACAACCACAGGAAGTTAATGAGATAACCTTTGAAGCCTTTGATCCCACTTGGAATTGGGGAGTTGATGAAGATAGCAAAAACTCAAGAATAGAGTTTCTCTACAATGTGTCCACCTTCAAGAGTAAGACACTTGGAATGATAGTTCCCATATTGTATGAAGTAATTCTTAAGCATTAAGTGCTTAAAACAATTAAAAACTATAGAAGAAACACTTTAGCATCACCAATACTTGCAACTTGTCTTCAAAAGAGGCAAAAAGGAAGAGTAGATGTAGGCTACGGTTTTAGAGAGAAAATCAAATGGAAGAGTAGTCTCAAGTGCAAGCCCCATGCACTTCTTTTATAATTTCATGCAAGTAAAAGCCTATTCCATATAATACGCTAAATTAATAGCTAGAAAAAGTTAAGCATTGGGAAAAAAGGGGGGGAGGTTGACAAACAACCTCCCATGCCTCTTGGGACTTACGATTTTGACTAAAAAGAAAGAGACAAAATTATTATCTAGTTTTACCAACTAGATAAAGGTAACTAGTTAGTAAGTGTAAAGTTAACCAAAGTATCCAAAACTTTGTACATGACTAATTAAATCATACCATATGATATAATAACTAGTTGTTTCTTTCTTTAATTATTATTTTCATAAAAAATAATTATTCCCTAATTAAATACTAGATTTGATTTTATTTGTTAATAATCATATTAATAATAAACAATTAAAAGGTGCCAACTTGATAAAAGTGTGACCCTAGAGGATCATATGTTATTAGCAATATCATTCAATAATTATTCTTTAGCATATAGATCCAACACATTCCCTTATAGGATTCAATCTTACTCTCAGTTGCATCTCCTTTTTACATCCTCTTTATAGGGATTACTCCTAGGAAGTCTACACTTCAGCTGCACATCAACACATACCAATAGCTTCAACTTGGTTCTCTGTCATTCCTGACACAATTATCTATTCTCATGCAATACTTTAGGTGTATCACTATTTTCAAAAACTAATGACTAATTTCACCATCCTATTCCTGTTTGTTAAAGTCGGCTTAACATATTAAGGAATTCTCGTAAAGATGTGATAGAAGTCAATCGCCACTTAGTATCATTAATTACCAAGTCAGAGCATCCTGTATAGGATACATGCAGCTCTTAACACACTAATCAAACTGCATATTGCCTTGCATAAATAGAAAAGTCTTGGCCTTTTGAGTTTTGGAACTCTGTTAGCCTCAATATTTTCTTCTTTACTCAAATTCCATCGAATTTTGCACAGCATATCATCTAACTCCAGCTTCGATACTATTGGATTATTTATCACCATCTCCAGTTCTTCTAAATCTGCAAGCAATGAATGCTTCAATCTGGTCAAAGGTGGAATCGCTAGGTAGTGGGACGATTTCATGGATTACACCAAATTTTAACATCCCGCCAGTTGAAAACGTACTTCACACATTCAGTACTCTTCCGAAGGTACTATTACCTCATCAAACATATTCTAAAGGTATGATACTATTATATCAGTATTATTCATGATATCATTCGATAACTTCTTAAGTCTCCTTCTCTCCTGAAAAAGTTATATGTCATTTCTAATGTAGTAATTAGACGTTTAGAATCCTGTACACATAAGATTTCATCCTCCAAGCCAAGGTAGGAATCAAACCTTAAATCTTTTCAAGTGATATCGATTTCAGTACCCAACATACAACTTTCTATATTAATTATCATTTAACACATATTAGCATATAATGTATCTCTCCTAAAGTATGCTAGTGCACATCATAGCAAGTAAGGTATTCAACCTAAGGCATTTATAAAACAAATCTCTTAGCATTAAATATCAATTAAGGACTACACCTTAAGGTATTCTAGTACTTGTGTCAATTTAGGTGTACAACCTAAGATATACTATAGACACACCTCACCATCATCACTTAACAATCAAAGTTTAAATCTAGAAATCCTCACAATTCCTAGTTCTCTTAAACTAATTCTTTGATACCAACCGTGACATCCCCAATTTTCCAGAACAAAAAAAATCTTTACGCTTTAAAACCATTACATCTTTAATTGCAGAAAATCCCAGTATATTAAACATTTAGAATACAAATGATTGTATCAAAATATCAAAACTTTATGGGTGTCATAATCGATACACAACATATGTTAAAGTGTAAAGACCTAACAGTCCTAAATACTATTGCATGTCATTTCTTTGATCACTCAACATCCTATTCCAGTCTTCAGGAGTCTTAATATCGCTACCTATGATGCATATAAATTAAGTGGGTCAGGTTGGGAAACCTGGTGAGATATATAAGGTTTTCAATCCCACAATATTATTATAATAATAAAATCATAATTAATAAACCTATAAAACCAACTGTCATCCAATAACACATCATAAACATCTTATAAGATATTTTCCTGAATTACACATCTCATCGATCCTCACATACTGGTCCTAATACAGTGATCTTATATGATATATCCTAACGGATCAGCATAA